GGGACAGAAAGACCTCTCCCTCAGCATCAAAACGCTCCAACAATTCAGAAGAAATCGTTTTCCTTTGAATCCTGTGGTCTGCTGTGAGACTTCGTGGAACCCATCTTGCGCACACCTTCGAATATGCAAGAGCCCGGATAATTGCAATCACACTTCCATTGCTGACTGAAAGCTGTTGGGCCAATTGTCGAGTTGTGATGCGCCGATCCTCACGAATAATGGCATCCGCGCGGTTCAACATGTCTGGAGTGGTGGCTGTGGCAGGACGCCCAGAGCGCGGCAGATCACGGAGCTCGGTTTCTTCACTTCCTGAAGCTTTAACTCTCTTAGCCCAGCGACCAACGGTGCTCCTATCGACTGCACAGCTTCCATACACAGCACACAAACGTTTATGAATGTTCACCACCGTTTCTTTTTCAGCAACAAGGAATTCAATTAGTCGACGCCCCATTTTGAGAAACATTTACAACTGACTAAACAATATTTAACAACACTTAGATAAATAATCACATGGTTTACTAAAATATACGTAGTTCAGATAAAATGTAGCTTAAACTTTACTACTTCTCAGTTTCATACTCTCTCATTCTCTTTTATTGTAGATACAATTTTGGAAGAATTTTTGCTTTAATGTCGATGTGCAGAATGAAAGTTCTTTAGACTTCATGTTAATTATATAATAGTTTAAATAAGCAGAAGCGCTGCGATGTAATTACTGACGTTTCACAAGATGAAGGCTTCAAAATTCCAAGCAAGGAAAGTGGCTTGCAGTTTGTTAGTAATTATAAATGGCATGCAAGCATTGCATCGTATTAATGAAGTTGGTCATAAAAATTGGAAATAGAAATAACCACTCTGCGTCAGAGATTTCGAAGTCGGAAATTAGTAAAAATTGAGGACTTGATATGTTATCAGAGGTTGGTATATACTTCAGATTATTTCCAATGATAGTTCTGTAAAACCTTGCAATAATGTTACATGCTGTTCTTCCCTTCTGGAAGCTGTCGGTCTCCGCGTCCCTGCTCGGAATCTGAGAGATTTTTCTATGTTCAGTTTTAGCCCTTTGATCAAAAACAGTCCTTCTGCTAGATGCGCATCAGCTGCTAATGTCGTCTGCAGGGATTTGGACATATTCGAGACGAAAATTGTCACACTTTAATTTACTTAATTGATTTAAATTATTATTACAAATATGCTAATATATTTAGTTGCAATTTTCTTGTGTATTGTCGTCCTCCGTACTAATGTATTTTATATTCTGCTTGTTTTACCTTTTATGTTTTTATTGTGTTCGTGTGCTCATCTCTGTGCTGTATCTGTAATTGGCCGTCTGGCTGTTGATACAGCACACTAATAATAAAGAGTTGAATTGAATTGAATCATCATCATCATCATCATCATCCTTTGGACATAATATTTCTCGATCGGTTAATACCAGTGATCTGTTTACTAAAGCGGCTAATAAATTTCTATAGGCGATGGAACCTGAAGGTCCATCGGTGTGTTCACAGAATTCTACCATTGGACCCCATCTTGAGGTACCTACTTCAATCCAATTCTCATAGACTGTTCATTTCGCATTTATCTAAAATATATTTAATGCATTATTGTAATTATCGTCTTTATAATTATGCCAAAAAAGAAGATTATCCTTTAATTTAATTTATTTATGTGCTTTTTAAGTAGTTTGTAAACAGAAAGCATGCAAACATAATCTTGGTTGTACACTGTGCCCTCTAGTGGTCTGAATGATGGTCCAAAAGCATTAATTTATTCGTGGGATATTAAATACACTATATTCACTACAGGGATTATATATAATTTGTTGCATAGATCATATATAACATATGCAGGGGACTCAAGGCCCTCCTCGAGGTCATTGACGTGGAGAAAGGAACAAGTCATTGCCAACGATATTAGTGACACAATTGTTTTAAAAATCGTTTAATAGTCGGTATTAAGGGGATATTGTCCTGCAGAGATTGGTTTGTCTTAATGTTCTTTTGAACGGAAACGAATACTTATTTAGGTGACGGCCTGGCTTGCCCCATTGAACTTGGGTATTTAAAACGCTGAAATTTCCCTTTTCATTTTTGTATGAGTCTGAAACTTGAGTTTTCGCTCCGTGGGACAGATGCTGCTATGTGAATAGCTTGCATCTAAGGTAGATCGGGAAGCTGTAATGTAATTCCATGAAGCAGAGTCCTCCTTGGCAGCTAATAGTACGCTCAGCTACTCAAAAAATTGTCACATTTTATGGAACCCGAGATTTAATTACCGTGTTCACAAGAGCCCGCCATCTGTTCCTATCCTGACCCAGATAAATCCAAACCACACCCTCAAACACTATTTCCCTATGGCACATTTTAATATTATCCTTCCATCTACACCTAAATATCTTTTTTCGGGCTTTTCACGCAAGATTTTGTAAACATTTCTCATCTCCTCCATGAGTGCTACGTGCCCTTCTCATCTCACTCTCCTTGATTTGAGTATCCTGGTGATATATGTTGGTGTTTCAAGTTATGTACCTCCTCATTCAGTTTTATCCGCTCTCTTTTTAAATTTTACCACTAAAGACCAAATATTCTAAACGCTCTCGTCTAAAACATGGTTTTTATTAGGATAGCTGATCAAATTATTGAGCTAGGCTACATATCCATTATTGTAAATTCTCGTTACGTGAGGTCTCTTGGTACGAAAACAGATAGGATAGGCAGAACCATTAAAATAGATTGTGGAAAAAACAGTTTTAGCAATTCTCACATACCCTGTATATTGTGTATTTTCTTCTTCTTCTTCTTATCTCCCCTGCGAGGAGCATAGGGGCCTCCTTTCGGAGGTTTCAAATCTATTTTTAGACATTTTATAGGGACTCCTTGGACGAGTGATCAGCCCATCGCAAGATATATTGTGTATGTAATACATTAAATGTATTTACAGTAATATACATAGGCTTGAGCGTGTTTGTGAATTAAATTAGCCAATTTTGTCGGTATATTTTCAGTATCTTCGCCAAAAGTTAAACAAAAAATGTATGATCACTGAAGTCAGCCAAACAAGACATTGAAATCAAATGAATATATTAAACTAATTCGCAACTGTCACATGTAATTAAGTTACGTTTCTTCTAAGAGTACGAAATGTAACACCTTTGAAAAATATGTTTTTTAAAAGAACCACAGGCTACCGCAGATCAAAACAGAGAGCCACTCCCATACTGACGTTTTACGGTGTGCTAATTATACAGGCCTAAGACTGTAATTCGGTACGAAATATTTTAAGTACAAAACACGTTAATAATTTAACAATATTGTTCCAGTTATTTTCCTTGATGAGTTCGATTGCCCGTGGGTTTATGCAGAAGCCATATTGGCATAGCTGACGACGACTCGAGAACCATCCAGCTGGCACCTTTACAAGCCTTTGTAAAATTCACTTCTTACGTCAGCCCTTCTTCTGACGAAATATCGTGGAAATCGTCACGTGTTTTATCGCAGACTTTGCGTTCTTGACCAAAGAATCTCGAATGTTCCCGTGGTGTGGTTTCCGTATGTTGTTTATGTCGCAGAATTATAATGACGCGTTGTCAGGCGTAAAATACGACGGAACGGAATCGTACCGGTTGCTTTTGGTGTGTAGATGTACAGCAACTCTGCAAAGAACAATAAATGATGTATATAACATGAGTAAGTTTCCCTGCTGTAGCCAATCCTGGTACATAATACGTATATCTATGTTTTTACTGTTCCCAGTGCATCGACCATCATGCACAGTGTAGACCTAAGGTCACACGTAACATATATACCAGGTGATTCTAAAAGGACTTTACAACTTTGAAAGTGTATAGAAATTTATTCAGAAGGCTTACAGAATCGGTTGAGGTGTCATTTTGTAGCAAAACAAATCAAGTTTGACTCACGTTGTGATGTAGTACCGAATTCAGTCACCGCGAGCGCAAGCGGCAGTGCATTTGAAAATGGCTCGAAAATTTACTCATACCACAGTTAGACGAAGATGACCAAAAAGCACGCATTCACTTCCAGCAAGACGGCGCACCACCTCACTGCCTCACAGAAGTACGGGATTTCCTCAATAACCGTTTCCCAGGTCGGTGGATTGGTCGAACAGGGTCGATAGCATGGCCACCTCGTTCTCCAGATTTGACACCTCTCGATTTTTTCTTATGGGGTTTCATTAAAGATCGTGTGTCCGCAGTTGCAGAAGTGACACCGGATATGCTGGATCGTGTTTGGCAAGAAATTGATTTCAGGTGGGATGTCTGCAGTATCACCAATGGCAATCACCTCGAACCAAAATGACTGTTTGAGGTAAAACTTGATTTGTTTTGCTACAAAATGACACCTCAACCGATTCTCTAAGCCTTCTGAATAAATTTCTATACACTTTCAAAGTTGTAAAGTCCTTTTTGAATCACCCTGTGTGTGTATGTGTATGTATGTATGTGTGTATATATATATATATATATATATATATATATAATGTTAATAATAAGCTTGGTGAAGCTAACCGAACATAGATTGCCTACTTTCGTGTGCTCGTTCGGGTTCCAGAAAAGTAGATAAACCACTGTCTTCTAAATGTCAACTGTTGAAAGAACACCGTATAGCATATAATAAATTATACCAGTCATTGGTAACGTATGCCGCCAAAACTTATTCTCAGAATATGATTTGAATGTGGATGTCGTGAAAATCTGACATCTCCACAACACATGGCGCGACTCAAGAGATATTGACAGCTTACTGACTTGTACGGTCATCTGCAGAAGCCTTCATTAAACTGGACACAGATTTTTAACACGTCCTGGGGTATGCAGATTCGCTACGGGCCCACATGAAGCATGCGAACCCCACTTTCCAGGTTGTGTTAAATAAAGAGTTACAGCAAAATGTGGTTGTATGCCAGGCCAATGGCGTTGGCTTTTTGGAAACATCGCTTAAAAACAGATGTTTATTGCACGTTAGAGGGCAGTCGTGTCGTTACAAACATTACTGTGTGGGTTGAGCCTATTCTGTCCGTAGAGATCGTACAGAACGTGTGTCACTCTTGATATAAACACAAATAGGCCTGTTTATAAATCGTACATTTCGCTTTATATTCTGTTATTATTTAATGTTTTAACCTCGTAAATATCTCGTGCGTCGCTAGGTTCAATATATGGCACTTGTCTGTCTTTTGGGAAGTTTTAATAACACGTAATTCAACTTTCATAAGATTTAAAATGCGGGAAGATCATTTTATTTTGTTACGCAGGTCTAACAGAAAGTATTTAATTTAGATTCGGAGATCTAAAGTACAGTACTGTAATGCATTTTTGTTGTTTACCAATGCTATATTTTGTTTAGAATTAAGTTATCATTCTTGTGCTGAATTTCGTTTGTTTGTTGGTTAGCGGTACAGAGTGTACTCCTGTAACAATGATTATTGGATTAAATCATGGGAAATGTAAAGTTCACGGAGCTTAATTCCAGAGTTAGGGACAGGAGAATGTTAACGTCTGGAGTTTCTTTGTTCCACAGAATTGCGTATTTAATTCTGCACAGAGATCGTGCTGTCTTCCACCACTCCTTTGCTGCAAGGTGTTAATAATTATGCGTCTGCTTCTTTGCGTTTAGCGATATTATAGAACAATGAACGTGTGTGTGCAAAATGTTTTTGTAAGAATTCTTTGAGATCGAAGTGTGCCACTGACATAAATCTCTGCACGTGAGATTTGGAAGTAACGAGTGGAAAGATGTAAATTTGTAACTGTGGTTCTCTAGCGAGGTTCGCTGACACATACGATTTACGTATCTCATCGATTTTTTTTATTGTATTTGCCCCTGCTATACGAACTGTAAATTATTGCTGCACGCCAGTTCATAATCGAGATTTGAAGTTCTCGCGGCTTTGAGGATGACGATGTTCTGGGAACTTACGCCGTGTGGATTTGTAGGTGGGGATAAATTCCTGAAGATGGTGACTGTGTGTGACTCCGAAACAATGGTGGGTCTACACTGGGCTCACTATAATTAGAAGCATGAAAACCATTACAACACGCCACTCTAGTAATGCAAAATTGTACTTCTCGTTATAGTGAGCCCAGTATACCAGAACGTCGTCAGTCGACAATTATTTATTTAATATTTATTTAAATGCACAACGTGTTTAAAATAGAGGTTAATGTGTTCTATACTGTATGACAAGCATTTTATACTGAATTTTTGCTGAGGGAAGATTAGGAAGTTATGTCTGAGTTTCACTGAGGTACTGTAATTATATGGAACCTGTACGAATACAAATTATCGCGTGACAGCTTTTAATGTTAGCATTCCATACAGTAATTTCGGAAATGAAACACCCAGACTAAGAGTCATATGCGACATATCCATTGTGCGTAAATTTGATATTTTTGTGCAGGCGTC